GTGGTTAGCAGCAGCAGGCTAGCCGTCCCTGCTATACTGTTCGCAAATGTCCAGTCTCTGGATAATAAACTGGATGAACTCCACACTCGGATTACCTCGCAGAAGGACATACAGGACTGCTCTCTGCTGTGTTGTTGTGAAACATGGCTGGGAAAAGAGACTCCTGATGAGGATATAACTCTGGATGGTTACTCTGTGTTCAGACAGGATCATAGCGCCGCTGAAAGCGGCAAGACCAGCGGAGGAGGAACAGCCGCCTTTGTCAAACAGTCCTGGTGCACAGACTGTAAGATTATCTCCAAATTCTGTTCTGAAGATGTGGAATATTTAACACTAAAGCTAAGGACTAAGGAATTTTATTTACCTAGAGAGCTGCCTTGTATCATTGTGAGCGTAGTGTATGCACCCCCATCATCTTCCAAAAGGAAGCTGCAGTGAGGGAACTGTACAGAATGATTAATGAGCATGAAAACATATCCTGATGCTGGTTTATTATTCTGGGGGATTTTAACCACTGCAATCTCAGGAAAAGCATGCCTAAACTGTATCAGTTTGTAACCTTTCCTACTAGAGGACCAATGTTACAGCAATATTAGAAATGCTTTCTCAACTGAACTTGAGCCTCATTTCGGTAGATCTGACCACCTAGCAATCCGGCTCAAACCTGCTTACACCAAACGACTCAAAGCGAAACCAGTCTCAGTGAGAACTGTTAACACCTGGAACGACTGAGCACAGGCCAGCCTGCAGGGCTGTCTGGAGGCCACACACTGGAGTATCTTCAAAGGGGCCACAGACAACATCCATGAATATGCAGAGACTGTGAGTGACTACATCAGCTGGTACACATCCATATGCACACCAGCTAGAACGGTGCATGTTTTCCCCAACCAAAAACCATGGTTTAATAGGGATATAAAACAGAAAATCAGGAAAAGACGAGGCTTTTAAGTCAGGGGACCAAGCGGAGTACAGGAAAGCCCGGTATGACCTACAGAAGTCCATCAAAGCTGCAAAGAGAGCATACTTCCAAAAACTGGAGAGCTACTACATGAATAACAACACACACAGTATGTGGCAGGGAATCCAGGCAGTCACAAACTACAGCAACAAACTGACAAACACAGCCCCCCAGGACACCACCCTCCCTGACAGCCTCAACAACTTCTGTGCAAGGTTTGACAGGTTGAACACACTCTGGACACCCCCTCAAAATCCCCCTGTGACCCAGGGGACACTGCTTTTCAGATGACGCACACACAGGTCCTGAAGGCCCATAGGCACAAACGACAGTGAGAGACCTATCCCTGACCCAAAGGCACAGGGAAACGACCCTCTCGTTCATCGGGGTAAACTCCAACACATGGCAGCTAAGCTGGGGGCTATAAGCAAGCTCACATCAGCCTGCCGCCTCTCACCGCGGGAAACTCCAGAGTAGTGGAGAGTCCAGCCTCTCTTGAGGAGTATGGTTTCAGAGCCCAAGCTTTACATGGAGGCAAGCCTGGCTATCTCTAGCCAGTACCTCTCCACCTCCCACACAAGCTCGGGCTCCTTCCCCACCAGCAAGGTGACATTCCATGGCCCCAGGGCTACGTGTCCAGAGATCGAAGGCCCTTGCCTTCGATCGCTGCCCAATCCACTTTGCACCAGCCCCTTACGGATCCTCCTGCAGGTGGTGGGCCCACGAGAGGACGTCCCCATGTTGCTCGTTCGGGCTAAGCCCAGCCGGGCCCCATGGGAAGAGACCCGGCCACCAGGTGCTCGCATTCGAGCCCCAACCCCGGGCCTGGCTCCAGGGTGGGGCCCCGATTGCGCCATACCAGGTAACGTCATGGTCCTTGATTTTGAACTTTTCATAAGGGGGTCTTGAACCACTCTTAGTCTTACCTGTTTGCCTTGGGAGACCCTACCATGGGCATATAGCTCCCAACCACATAGCGCCTAGGATCATTCAGGTACTCAAACCCCTCCACCACGATAAGGTGGCGGTTCAAGGTTTGAAGTTCACCGGAAAATACTATTACCCTATTTTTGTGTATTGTGGTTTTTAATACTTTGTTGCCTTTATGTAACTTTTTCTTTTAAGACTAAGTGAATTACTAAGTGCGATGTTTGAGGGTCACTGGGGAAAATACTATTACCCTATTTTTGTGTATTGCGATTTTAATGCTTTGTTGCCTTTATGTAAGTTTTTATTTTAAGACTAAATGTTCTTTCTGGCTTTTGACTCCTTACCTGACTCCAAAGGAGAGCTGCACAAGAATTCCTATATGCCTAGACTGTCTGTTTATGCATAAATGGCAAAAAAAAAAATCTTGACCTTACTTGAATGCTCTAATTCATTTAAGGTCATGATCAAATTCAGCTTTAATGAAGACAAAATCACAATTCCACATTAATAAAAAATGGTCTCTAAGAATAGTGTGTGTGGATATATTAGTTTACATACAGTACAGCTGTTTACTAATGCAGTGCAGCTCTTAAGATATTTTGGTGTTGCGCTTCGTGTCTCCTGACTTTAAGATTTCTAATCCATATTTCTTTTCACCATCCTAACTATACAGGGTATGTCTGCTCAATTTTAGACCTGCATTTCTTCTACCTGTCACAAAAGCCTTAGTGCTTTTGGACCAAAAGACAGATTATTTGTTTAAAAATATACTCATACATATCTCTTAGTTAACAATGTGCACATGAATTTAATAGCAGTTAACATTTTGAATTCATGTTAAAATCATGTATCAACTGTAATGGCATGGTCATGTGCATGGGAACATACAGTATTTTCAGTGGGTGGGTGTTAGTGGGGCTGTCTGGGATGCATGCGCATGCATGAAAATGCTTTCAACAAAATTTGCATGGAGTTGTTGCTGTACATTGGGGGGGCTGCAGCATTGGTAGCACCCCCTTTCCCATGCTAGTAGGTGTGGTTCTTTACTCTCTGAACTGAACCCATTCAGTTTGTTTGCAAGCAGACAGCAACCCATCTATTCATGTGGTCCCTTTGTTTTCCCCATTACCCCCATTCACAGCCATTCAGGGGAATGCAATACTGATTCTATGTCAGATACTCACATACTAGAGGCCTTGAGCATGTAGTTGACTGGACGCTCCTCTTGGTTTTCCAGCAGCTTAAGATTAAAGACACTGGCCAACAGCTGGCCCTGGTCTTCAAGATCTTCAGTCCTCAACATTGCCCGCGTGCAGGAGTCAAGGACGTGGAACTTGTCCCCACTGAAAACATGTTGGCTGAATTCATATTCCCTGCTTTCACTGCAATAATTGACTGATTTGTGTTTGAATGCACAGTTTAAGTCCACACAGCTAAAATGAGTCAATCTAATCCAACAGTCCTGAAATATACCCTCCTTCAAACATCAATTTAAAAAATATCAGTTTTGGTGCTACATAACTTATGTGCAGCTTTTGATTCTATAGATAATTGTACCATCCTCAGTTGGTTCAGATCATTGAAGGCAGCGGTTATATTGTTTCCACTGGTGATCATAAATCTGAGCAGCTCACAATGACAGTGGAGTCCCCCAGGGTTCGAGCCTTGGACCACTGCTATTCAATCTGTACATGCTGACTCTGGATTATGTCATACACGACAATGATGTTGCCTATCACAGTTATGCAGATGACACTCAGATTTTAGCTTAGCTCTCTCACTATGGTCCCTTAGACTCACTCTGTCAGTGCTTAGAGCAAGTAAATACCTGGATGCAGTCACATTTCTTTTAGTTAAAGACCAACATTGAAGTTATTGTTTTTGGCATCAAGAAGGAAAGAACTAAAGTTATTGCTCAGCTTGATTCCAGAGCAATAAAGACAAAACCTCAAATAAAAAATTTTGGTGTCATAATTGACTCAAACCTGAGCTTCACCAGTAGGGTTTGGTATTGAGGACTGGTTCTGAGTTGGAACTGGTTGCAAATTTCCGAGAACCATGGATTTGATAAGAAGTGCATTTTGATTCTGTGTTTCAGTTCCTAACTGTTACATATTTCATCTTATCTGCCAGGATCAACAAAGCATGTGAAAAGAGTATTCTGTTTACATCCTGGCCCATGGCTGACCACAGAAAACCAAAAATTTTGCATAGCGTCACTAAAAAAAGATAATGACACAGCAAAATGCATCACCTGCAGTAAGGACATTTTGTGCAAGAATGAAGCACCTCTATCTGATTACGCTTTTACTTCAACACAGCATGAATTTGAAGGAATTCACTGATGCCCCAGGTACAGTTAACGTCAACATTCTCTTTTTATATTTAACTAAATAAATGATGTTTACAAATTATTTTAATATATATTTTACTTAGAGAGTGCCCCTCCACCAGCGATCCATTCCCATTCCCCAGAGACCCTCCTCTAAGAACAAAAGCTTGACCATTTCGGTAAGCAAAATGCATTATTGTATCTGATTATTCATAGCCTAAATACAGACAGCACATCAGTTGTCCCACTAGGGACAAAAACACACTGGACCACTGCTACATGGAAATAAAAGACACCCATCACTCTGTCCCCTGTGCAGCTCTCGGTCTCTCTTATCACTGCATGGTCCATCTCATCCCAACATATAAGCAGAAACTTAAAGCTGCGAAGCCCATGATCAAAACTGTGAAAAAAGGCAAAGTCAGAGCTACAGACCTGCTTTGACTGCACAAATTGGAGTGTATTTGAGGCTGCATCTGCAGACCTGGATGAACTCACTGACACTGTGACATCATACATCAGCTTTTGTGAGGACATGTGTGTGCCCACCAAGTCCTTCTGTACATATAACAACAACAAGTCCTGGTTCACAGTAAAACTCAAACAGCTTTGTCATGCCAAAGAGGAGGCCTACAGAAATGGGAACAGGATCCTGTACAGGCAGGCAGGAACACACTGACAAGGGAGAGCTACTCTGAAAAGCAGAAAAAAACAGTTTTCAGCCAACGACCCCTTGTCTGTGTGGATAAGCCTGAAGAACATCACTAGCTACAGGAAAACATCCCCCCTATGGTGGAAGACCATCAACCAGCAGACAACCTTAATGTGTTTTACTCTAGGTTTGAGAAGCAGAACTTTACACCTCTCATACACCTCACCTCAGAGCCCCCAGGTGCTTGCCCCATGATCACCTCCCTTCCTCCCTAACCCCCCACCCTGAAGATGTGTGCAGCCTTAAAAAAAAAAACAAAAGTTCGGGAAGGCACCAGGCCCAGACAGTGTCACTCCCTCTAGCCTGATAGCTTGTGCTGATCAGCTGGCCCCCATCTTCACATTTATCTTCAACAGATCAGTGCTGCTCATCCACCATTGTCTGGTTTGGCTCAGCAACCAAACAGGGCAGGACTCTATTCTAAAATGCTTCTCCTAGTTTATAAATCACTTAGTGGTATCATGGGGCCACAATACATTTATGATCTCCATGAAGAATCTAAACCCAGCAGGGCTCTGAGACCCTTAGGAAGCAGTCAGCTGGTAGAACCTCAGGTCAGAACCAAACAGGGTGAAGCTACTTTTATAGCTACTATGCTGCACACAGATGGAAGCAGCTTCCTGATGACCTTAAATGCGCCCTGATTCTGCCACTTTCCATTTTCAAGTCTCAAGTGAAAACTCTGCTGTGCCTTTGATGACTGGTTTCTATGCTGCATTTTTCTTTATCTGTTGCCTTCAGGGCAACTTACAACTACAACTTATGACTGCACTATAGCTGTAAGATAACCATGTTTTAGATCGGGGTGCCCACACTTTTTCGCCTTGCAAGCTACTTTTCAAATGACGAAGTCAAAATGATCGACCTACACGCGCGCGTGCGTGAAAATATATGTATGAATGAGTGTCGTAGTTTTTATGAACAGTCTGAAAGTGCCCCTCCACATTTCGCTTCTTCGGAATAGTGATGGTAGATTGGTAGATCAAGCAAACGCATTTCGAATATAACGTCACGAAAAAAAAGCCCCCCCATTCCGCATGGAATGTTTTCGGTACGTTTTCGGTTTCTTACTTGATTTGGCTCCCCCACTCATTTTATACCCATTAGTAGAAATTAATTGGAAGGCTGACAAGGTAGTTCTCTCACTTGAGTTTTGCAGTAGCTCGTGCTGTTGACTGTGCATGTTTGGTGACTCGTGTGTCAGAAAAGACGAGCTCTCAGACTGGCTGCCCTGCATGTCAATCAAGCAGCAAATGCCATAGGGAGGATAGATGATAGGCTATATATGAATGATTGGCACTTTCTGCTTTTGTTGTTAGGGGTCGCCATAGCGAATCATCACACTGACCATTCGCAGGTTAACATTTGGCACGTGTTTTACGCCGGATACATTTAATTTATTTTGAATGGCACACGATCTACCGACACTACCTTTGCGATCGACGTATTGGGCACCCCTGTTTTAGATCTTTTATGTTGTCCATTTTTATTTTCATTTTATTTATTTTATCTCATTTTAACAATTTTAGATTTTTATTATAACTGATTTTATTCTATGGGCAGCTCAGTGGTTAGCACCGTTGCCTCACAGCGACAAGGCCCCGGGTTCGGGCCCCACCCGGGACCTTTCTGTGTGGAGTTTGCATGATCTCCCCATGCTTGCGTGGGTTCTCTCCGGGTACTCCGGCTTCCTCCCACAGTCCAAAGACATGCAGCTTAGGTTGATTGGTGTCTCTAAATTGCCCATAGGAGTGCGTGTGTGTGGTTGTTCGTCTATGTGTTAGCCCTGCGATGGATTGGCAACCTGTCCAGGGTGTACCCCGCCTTCGCCCGATTGCCGGCCGGGATTGGCTGTGACCCCGTTTAGGGACTAAGCGGTAGAAAATGAATGATTTTATTCTGGGTTTTATGTTTTTTTTATTTTTAATGCTGTTACCATTGACTCCGTTTAGGGACTAAGCGGTAGAAAATGAATGATTTTATTCTGGTTTTAATGTTTTTTTTATTTTTAATGCTGTTACCATTGACTCCGTTTAGGGACTAAGCAGTAGAAAATGACTGAATGATTTTATTCTGGTTTTAATGTTTTTTTATTTTTAATGCTGTTACCATTTTCATTTGCCTATGTTAAGCACTTTGAATTGCCTCTGTGTATGAAATATGTTACAGTATAAATAATAAATCTGCCTTGCCTTCATGAAGGTGATAATGTTCAGTTTTGTGGAAATTGTTTTGGAAATGTGTTTATTGGTTGGTTTTATTTGATGATTAGTGCAAAATAAAAAGGTCACATCTCATCCAGGATAAACACAAAAATGCTGTAACGTTTATTTTGATTGTAGTCCTCCATATTATTCGTCTGTAGTGTATGATCATCTTGGAGGTTGTAGTTTGTGGTGCCTCTGGATTATACTGTTTTACTCATTTATGCTATTATTTTGTCCACCTCATGTACAGTATATCGTTGAGGGTAGACAACTGAAGTGCCTCAGTATCATGCTATGCAATTTAAGAGCACAAACTGCATCCTCTAAATGATCATACAGTTCACCACCTCTCTGAAACAGCTGGAACACAAACTGAACATTATCATATACATGAATGAGAACTGTTGGATTAGACTGCATTATTTGTAACTAGGTGAAGGCTGCTTCATATATTGCCAACTGAGTGTAAAAAACTGCAAAAACAAAACATTTGCTAAAACATAAAAATATCACAGTAAGAATACCAAATCCTTACCTAGAGGTGCGCTTGGTGACCAGCAACAGATTGTTAAAAAGGAATAAGTAGACTGGTTGGTAGAGCTTACGACTGCGCATGGTCCTAGTGCTCTTAGGTCCCGTCATTAACTGCACTTCTCCCTTCTTCAGCAGCCAGCGTGAGTGAGAAATTATGGGCACAGACTACAGAGGTTAGAAAATAGATAAGGTTTTTGTTAGGTATTTTTAGTCAGATAGAAATTGGATAGATACTTTATGTATTAGACATGTTTAGTGGAGATAGGATGTCTAGTTAGACTGCTAAATGCTTAGGCATGCTTATGAGTTTCTACAGGGGACATCTGGTCAAGGATATCTAGAGAGAAGAGTTGTTGACTGTCAGCAGACAGGGTGTTTAATATTATTATTACGACAGGTATAACTGTAGCCTTAGCCATAATATGTTCTTATGTTTAAGTCACGACATGTACTAGAGGTCGTGAGAATGTTTTTAGCTACACACCACTTAATCAACAGACACACACACATTGATTTGCTTCATGTTTTGACTACTGCTATGACCAGCTGCAAAGCTGGCAACAGAGACGTCGCGGTTGACGTTTCTGTGTAGTATGGGGCTAGCCCAACCGAAGGGATATAATGTATAGGCCTGGTGGGTTCAGAGTCTTTCATCTTACATCTGCCTGTGTGCAGTTTGGAGGTGCAAGATACCTGAGC